ATGCTAACGATTATAAAATGGTCTAGACTTGTGTATTGACATAGGATTGGCAAAAACGTAAAGAAACGAAAATAAGCGATAAAATGTATGTCTTATGTAAAATCTAGGCATGATAGCATTTTATTGATTTATATTTTGGATTCTTTCTCTAGGTGTACCTAGGGACTGAAAAAGATCAGAATCTCTTGAAGATATATAAGTAACTTGTGCCACAAGTAAGCGGATTGAAAAAGCTTCAAGAGGTAAGCTCTATGTTTAAGGAGTCTTTTCCTGCTTGAGTGCTCCACCATGGTTGGTGAACTATGGTTGGATTGTATGACTGTTGTTTGGATACTTTGTATAAATGCATTCATATAGAGTTATTTGATAACATGATATGACTTGTTCTGATATGATTTCCGTATTGATGTATGGTACACTGATGTCTTCTTGGGGGTTTCCCCTGAGATTGACGATGTACACCTCTGACGTATTCTGGTTCCGCTTGGGGTCCTCCCTTGGGAACACGTGCGTTGATTTTCGCTTGGGGTCCTCCCTTGGGAATGACGGTGCACGCCTATGATATGATATAGATATATGCTTTGTTCTGTTATGATATCTGTTATATGTGCATTGTATACTCTGTATCTGACTTTCATGCAGGAGTGAGCCAGAGGTATGGAGAATTCTCTATAAACCTGGAGCTTATTGAGATTGTTATCTCACCTCTCTTTGGGGACATCATTTCAGGTGCCCAGATTCCCGGTGAATCCTCACTAGGCATGGACGCGACCCGGGGTTGAGACGTTGGGACGAATCAGTTTTTGAGTAGCTGTAGGCTACTAACCTTTTGGAGTGCATTTATATTATTCAGTATTTCCGTATTTGATGGATCACGATGTTGGATCCCTTACTTTGTATATGGCCTGTATATGTTTTGTACATGTCCTCCAGTTTGATGCATGTACATTTGTGTATTCAGGCATGTTGATATGACTATGTAGTATTCAGTTATGTTATGTATTGGATTGCATGCTATTAGATTAGTGGCACGGAGCCAAGTTCTGCATGCGCATATGGATGGGTATCTGAGTATATTTGCATGACTGGTACTTCTGGATATATATATTGTTTAAACTATCTATCAGGAACTCTTGAGAGTGAGATTGGAAAATCCCTAGTTGTCCGATTTACAGAGGTTACTCTGTCCGATTTTCGTTTAAGCCTAATAAGAATTAAAAGAGAAAAAGAAAAAGTTAGCTTGTATTTTCGTAAGTTAAGTCTTCCGATGTTTCTGTCTGTATCATATGTATGTTAATTGAATCGGCTCGAGATAGGGATGTTACAAAAAATGGAGGTCTAGTACTAGACGATCCCTCAAGGGGCATATCATGGTTCAAAGAAGCCATCCCTTCTCTTGAAGCGGTTAAGCTCTTTACACAAGACTTCAAGCTCTGAAACCACTTGTTGGACAAGTGGCTTCAATACTCAAGAGAGGGGTGAATTGAGTTTTACAAAATCTTTTCGCAAAGTGCCTCTTTTGATATTTTCAAGACTATTTCTTCAATAAAGTGATTTAATAAGGAAAAATCTAAGTGTAAGAGCAAGTGTAGTGATCAGCAAAGTAAGCAAGCGGATATATAAAGGCAATCTAAAATGCAATTTTAATACTTAAATAAAGAGATTAAGGTTAGAGAAATTGTAAACTAGATGTATCCTGGTTCGGTCACCACCACCGTGACCTACGTCCAGACTGAAGCCGCTCGATCAATTCTTTTCGTAACTGTCAAGCTTGAGGATGCTTGACAAACCACTACAACCTTTCAAGACTTCGGGCTCTTGATGCCTTACAATTTTTCACTCTAAATTTTCTTAGGAATTTGGTGACCTTTCAAGTGTATAGGGTTCACTCCCCTAACTATTCAAGAAATCAAAGGAAGGTGTTTAACAAAGGTTAAGTACTCTCAAAGTACAAATACCACAAGTTGAAGAACAAAGGTTGTTGACACTCTCACAAGAATAAAGCTCAAAGAGAATTTATGATCAAGAAGACAAGAACAATGCAAACATAATGAGAATTAATGAGTAATAATGATCAAGAAGTGTGTCCCTTCAAGGGGAACAATATTCTCTATTTATAGAGGCCCCATGGCCTTTTCACACTCATTTTCGCAAACTAGCCGTTTTATAGCCGTTATTTTGTCTTCTGCACAGTAGGTAATCGATTACCATTGTGTGGGTAATCGATTACCATGAAAGGTAATCGATTACCATTGTTGGGTAATCGATTATCAACCTGTTGAAAGGTTGGATTTCACCCAAAAATGGTTTTCTCTTGATTCAAATCAGTTTCAAATATTGTTTAAACATTTTATAAACATTGAAAACTATATTTTCATGCTAGGAATGTATTTGAATGTCAAACGATGATTTAATGCATGTATTTGAAAAATACTTTGAGCTTCGTTCATGTAAGGGATCAATTACCCTTTCAAATGATCCTAAGTCCTATATTATGATACTTGGAGATTGCTTGGACTTAGAGACTTCTCTTGAAGCTTGAGTCTTGATCTTGTTTAGACTTCTTTTTTATGGTTGCGCCTTGAAGATTTCTTTCCATGCTTGTTTGTTATCATCAAAATCGTTGAACCTTTATATTCTTTACGTAGAGTGCATTGGTTCCACATAGACCACTTAAAATTTGATGCTCCAAGAGCACCAAAACTCTTCTCCTATATTAGATGTGGGGAAAATAAAGGTTTAGAAGATTTTAGGTCAATTAATTGTAATTAATATTCTTTGTTTAAAACTTGATAATTAAATTTGAGCATATTTTATTACCATCAATTTTTTTTTTGAGTTTCCTCAAGATATCCCACAGCCGACAGCCGAAGATTAATCATTTCAAGGCATAGAGATTATTGAAATGAGTTTTGCCTCTACCAACAAAGTCTTTTTCATATACATGGCCAGAAATCTAATTTCTATCAGCATGCTTAAGGAATCCAGCCATCCAACAATTGTGCCGGACTTTGTTGGTTGATTACCATCACTTATGTTAGAGGTATTGGGGTTGCAAACGAAAGTTCATCAAACCAAAAATAATTAAGACGTACGTTTGAGGGAAAATTAGTATATCTAATCGAGGTATTAATATACTAAAATTTCTACTACGAAAAATTTAAGAGTTATAAGTACAAACCATGGATTTATTATGAATTTCGGTTTCTTATTTCAACCATAATTTTATGGAAAAAATTTATTTTCACCAATTGTGGTTTTGTAATTTATCATTTGACCCTGTGTGGTTATAAACTTATCATTTAGACCCGTTGTGCTTAAATAATTTATCATTTAACCCTTCTTGGTTTTAAATTTTTAATTAGACACCTTGTGGTTAGAAAAAATTTCACTTAGACCCCTTGTGGTTACAAAAATAAATTTTTTAAAAAACAAATATTTAAAATAAAATTTTCTTCTATTTTATTTATATCCTCACGTAATGTATTTAGGGTTTAAAAAATAAAATAAAAAAATTCATTTATTTTTATCAAGAAAAGTAATTCAAATCAAATATTATTTTATTTTATTTATATTTTACCCGATATAGTTGTAAAATTATCTAAAGAAAGTAAATATCTTCTTTTGTAATTTATCTTAAATAATATTTTTTCAATTTCAAATATATTTTTAAAATAAATAACTTGAAATATTTTTAAACACTAAATACATTACATGAAGATATAAAATAAAAAGAGAGAAAGTTTATTTCATTTTTATTTTTTAATTTTTTTTATATTACAAGGGATCTAAATGAATTTTTTTATAACCACAGGAGGTCTAAGTGAAAATTTAAAATCATAAGGATTAAATGATGAATTATTTCAGCACTGTCGGTTTAACTGATAAATTTAAAACCTCGGGTGATCACATAATAAATCACAAAATCACAATAGGTGAAAATAATTTTTTTTCATACTTTTATTTACACACTAGGAGGAAACAAATTTAATATCAATTAAGAATTTATTGTTTTTCCTATTTATTTCTTGTGATCCTCAAATGAAATTATTTTGTGCAGAGAGAAACAAGTTTTGAAATTTTAATTTATTTTGAAGTTACATTGTATAAAATATATATAATGTTTGACATTTTATCTGAACAATTGTTTTTTGTCATTAAAATAACTATAAATTAGTGAATTATATTTATTAATTAATTATTATCATTAAATTGGCAAAAATTAATAATTCAAATGGGTGTCAAGCTTTCAAATCATCATGCCATATATCTATGGGATTAACATTCTCATATTATAGCAGATAGAATTATCTCTTATAACTTCAAAACGAAGTCGTTTTAGGATTTAGAATAAAAAAAAATATTTTAGTGAAATGTATGTTATAATAAGAAAGTAAAATTTCTAAAATATTATTTATTTTTTTTATTCTAAATCTCAAAGCAATGTTGTTTTAAAATTGGAGGAGATAATTTTATTTCCTGATAAAGGATAAATATTTTTTCATATATATATATATAGGATTTTATTAGTCTCATCTTATATAAGATAGTAATCTTATGTTGTAGAAAAAAAATAGATGGATCCCACCGTTACAAGAAAAAAGAAAAAGGTAGGATGCGAAAATCGAAGTGAGGGAGTATGAGATATGTCAATTTTTCATATATATATATATATATATATATATATATATATATATATATATATATATATATATTAATGATAAAGACATTTTCTTACGAGGGAAGAAATGACAAATGTAAAACATTATTGAAGAAAACAAATAAAGTTGCCTAAGTTGAAGGATGGAATTGCCACCACATGTAAAAGTGAGTCACGAGTGAGTTCCTATATATCAGAATGTATGTCCATAGTTTACCCAAAAATAAGAAAAGAAAAGAAAATGTATGTCCATATATATATATAGGGAAAAGAAAAGAAAATGTATGTCCATATATATATAGGGAAAAGGCACACACAGTTTGGTCTCGTGAGTGTGGAAGATCATATTGTCATACGAAAGAAGCAGGGTATGGGTAGGTGCACCTTCTCCTTCCCCTTTCTCTCCAAGCTCACTCTCCTAACTGTGATAGTAATAGTTCTCTTGGATGTCACCGTGACTGTGTCGGGTCTTCCACTCTACACGAATGGGAGGTGGATTGTGAACGAAGATGGGAAGAGAGTGAAGCTAGCATGTGTAAATTGGGTGTCCCATTTGGATACTCTAGTGGCTGAAGGGTTAAGTCATCAACCTTTGGATGTGATCTCAAAGGGAATAAAATCAAAGGGTTTCAACTGTGTTAGACTCACTTGGCCACTTGTATTGGTCACCAATGACTCTATCTCCTCTCTTACGGTGAGACAATCTTTCAAGAATCTTGGTCTTGTTCAATATATCAATGGTATCCTAGCCAACAACCCCTCCATCATCGATCTTCCCCTCATCAAAGCTTACCAGGTATACATATATATATGCATATATCTCTTCTTTAACTGAATCATTTCCTTAATTAGTATTCTTTTGGATTAACTTATTTTAAGAGATTTGGGAAATACTTGAAAAAAAAATTGTTATTATTATCTTTAAGAGTAAAACCTTTTTGGGACAAAATATACGCTGCCTACTTTCGTCCATTACAAATAAAAAGTCAATTTTTGATCTCTTTACATTTTTATTTCTTTGAAGATGTAGTCCTTCAAAAATTCAACGAAGACCCCATTTAATCCTTAAAGAATGATTAATATGGATATATTTTTTTATAAATGACAAAAGTGAAAATCATATTTTTTGTTAGGAAGTCGAAGGCATTACTCTATTTTTAAAAAATAAATAGAATCAAACATGGATTCATTCATGCATTAGGTGCATATTTGTTTTGTTTTATATTTAGAAAATAATTTTTTAATGTTGATTGACTGCTGTTAACAACTTAACATATTTGAATAACCTCAAACATTATATTATTAAAAGAAACTTAGACTAAAGTCAAAACATAAATGAGTGACTCATCGTTAGTTATACAAAGTTTTGAATGATTTCCTGTGTTAGGTAATTTTTTTATATTTGAAATGATTTATATGTAAGTTTCTTTTAATTAATTGTCTTGAAAATTGGCAGATAATAATGATTCAATCAATTGCTTCTAGTTTTTTTTTTTTTTTTTTACTTTATCATATATATTGTGAAATGTGTTATTGACCGTTGTTAACTTATTTGCTTAACTACAAACATGAAATTATAGTGAGAATGATCAATTTACTCTTATTTTAAAAATTAATTATCAATCTACGCATATTTTCAAACTATTGATATCTATCACCTTGTACTAATGAAGATTCGTTACCTTAATTAGGTCAAAAATTAAATTTCCTTGGTCACCAAATTACTATTTGTAAGTATCAAATTGAATACTGTATTTAATAGCTAGCTAGAACCACTACACCAAGTCACCAACTACTATTACCATACCTGTTTTGCATTAAGTTTTGACTGAGGCAATATTATTATATTTATATTACCCTAGGAAGTGGTGAAAAGCCTTGGAGACAACGAGGCAATGGTGGTTTTGGACAACCACGTGACCCAGCCGGGGTGGTGCTGCAGTAACTCTGACGGAAATGGGTTCTTTGAGGACCAGTTTTTTGATCCAGACCTATGGATTATGGGCCTTACCAAGATGGCCACCATTTTCAATGGGGTCACTAATGTGGTAGGCATGAGCTTGAGAAATGAGCTTCGAGGTCCCAAACAAAATCTCAATGATTGGTACAGGTAAATTGCTTTTGGGTCAAGCCCAGCCCAATTTATCATCCATGTGTTAATACATGAATGATAAATTATTTTCAAGCAAAGTCACACTACTATTGGATTTTGATATGTGGAATGAAATATATATTTAAGCATGGAATGATAGGTATTTTTGAGTAGGAAAGGGAAGTGGTAACGTGGTTTCATCTCGTATTTTCATTGTTAAATATCTAAATAATAATTAGAGTCAGGTAAAACGAGTTCGGCTTGGTGGGCCAACCCGCCCCACTCGATAATCGGGACGGGATGGATTAAGTTTTTTAACTCATTTCAAAAAGCAGGCAGACTCCTTTATTGGCCAGTTGATGGTAGGCATAGACGAGCCGAGACGAGTCAATGTAAAATTGGTTCGGGTTGACTGGCTAACCCGCCAAATAGGACGGGGTGGGCCAAGTTTTTCAGCCCATTTTTAAAAGCGAGACGAAACTGACTAACTCGTTTTTTGACGGGTTGACGGCGAGTCGCCTACTTTGCCACCTCAAATAATAATATACTAGTTTTATTCTAATATTCCCAATTCCATTTTATTTCTTCCATTGAAAGGCCTCAATCCAAACATGACAAATTGGCAATGATAATTATATTGTTATGATCAATAGGTACATGCAAAAAGGAGCAGAAGCCGTGCATGCTGCAAACCCGAATGTTCTTGTCATTCTCTCAGGCCTAAATTTTGACACAAACTTAGCATTCCTTGGGAACCAGCCAGTGAAACTGAGCTTCAATGGGAAACTAGTATTCGAGGTGCATTGGTATAGTTTCAGTGACGGTGAAGCATGGAAATCAGGGAATCCAAACCAAGTGTGTGGCCAAGTTAGAGGGAACATGATGACAAAGTCATGGTTCTTATTGGACCAAGGATGGCCATTGTTTGTTAGTGAGTTTGGGGTGGACTTGAGAGGTACAAACGTAAACGACAATAGGTACCTCAATTGCTTCATGGCGGTGGCAGCTGAGCTTGACTTTGATTGGGCCTTGTGGACACTTGTTGGCAGCTATTACATTAGACAAGGTGTTATTGGAATGATTGAGTATTATGGTCTTCTCAATTCGGACTGGACCCAGCTTAGGAACATAACTTTCTTACAAAGGATCTCTGCCATTCAACTTCCTTTTCGAGGTATGACCAAAAAATAAAAAATACAAAAATTATTGTTTAGGATGGTTACCCCTATATATATGGGAAAGAGTTTTTTTATTGAAATTTTTTTATCATATTACAATCACAATTAAAAGATGGACCCATTTTGATTTTTTTTGTTTTCTCACTTTTTTGTGGACCCCACTCATGTATTGTGTGTGTAATATGAGAAAATATTCTCATGTAAAATGAGAAAATTAATTTTTTATATATATATATAAGAAATGATGTCTGCATTATATATATAAGAAATGGTTTCTGCATTTACTTCAGAAATCTTCCCTCCACGTACCACGAGCTCATTTTTAGTACGAAAGGCGTATGTGCATCTGGCGTTCAAAATTAAACATGTGTACTTTAAACAACATTTTTCTCTCTTACTTGTGCATTGGTGTTTTGTGTTTGATTTTGATTGAATAGATGTATAGAAAGTTGTGTGCTACAATAGTACTATAGAAATTTCCCTCTATCACATATACAAATCTTCATTTCTCTCTCATTAGAATACGTTTCTTTCTCTCAAATTTAATGTCTGCGGCATAAGAAAGATTTCTACGATAAATGAAGAAATTATTTATATATATATATATAAAACTTATGTTTTCTTATGTTACATAAGAGAACAATTTTTTCTACAGACACATAAACAGTTCAAAATTAGCTTTTTACTTTTTTTTACATTACAAGTGGATCCCATATTAAAAATTGTATCTATGGTTGGAGATATGCTTTCTTATGTAACATAAAAAAACATAAACCTATATATATATATATATATATATATATATATATATATATATATATATATATATATATATATATATATATATCCATCCATTCCTGTGTAGGTTGGATTAAATTGAAGTAATTCATAAATCATAGGCAAGGAATAAAGTATGTGAAGTAATTTTATATATCTTAGTCCTTGTTGTAATTGTATTCCTCATGACATGACATGACATGCAGGGCCAGGCTTATCAGAAGCCAAACCATATAAAGTGATTTTTCATCCTTTGACGGGTCTCTGCGTCTTAAGAAAGTCACAGGTTGACCCGTTAAGGTTAGGACCCTGTTCTAATTCTGAGGGCTGGGAATACACTGCCCAAAACACACTATCAATAAAGGGTACAAATTTGTGTTTACAAGCACAACAGGGAGAAGGGATGCAAGCAAAACTAGGAATAACATGCTCAGATCCTAACTCAAGATGGGAAATGATATCTGATTCGAAGATGCACCTCTCATGTAACAACAACAACGGTTCTGGTGTTTGTTTGGATGTAGACTCTAACAACATCATTGTCACCAATAGTTGCAAATGCCTCAGCAAAGATAACACGTGTGACCCTGCATGCCAATGGTTCAAGCTTGTTGACACCACAAGCAAGTCAACCTCGATGTTGGGTTTTAAGGAAAGCGACATTTCTGGAAACTATTGAGCTCAACAATAATAAAGTAGATTTGTCTCTGAACATGTGGTCTGTAGTTTGGTACTGTACTTACTACTCAGCAAAATTATTCTATGAGTAATATCTTTAACAAATATTTAATATATTTTTATAAACTAAAATTACAATTAATTTGAGATAATGGTATTGTTGATGTTGATATTGAAGATTAAAATAAACATTCAGCAATATTGCAAGATGTTTAGGCAACGAGAAATGTGTTTTTCACGTTGTATATGACAAATTATCTCGTGTAATATGGATATTTCTCTTAGTTTATTATATATTTTAAAATTAAAATATTATATAATATGTTTTTGCTAAAAATCAATTTTTATATAAAAATTGATTATCATATCTGTACTGTATTTTTGCAGCCGTAAAGTTAGAGAACTTCTAATTTCATATTTTTAAGATTATGCAGCTTATGGTGTGAATGTGACTGGCTACCTATAAGAAAATGCAATAACAACTTAACAAGTAAATTAATATAAATAAGTTATCTATATTCGTTCCCAAAATGATATTGTTTTGAGTTAAAAAATTAAAAAAATTATAATTAAAAAAACTATTATAACATTGAAATAAGTTATAATTACAAAAATATCTTGATTTCTGCATCAAAACGATGTCATTTTGAACTTAACGTAGATAAGTTATCTAGTATAAAAAGCGAACCCGTTTTTATAATCCCAAATTTAGTCTGAAATCTGAAACGTTTAGGAATAGCTTTACATTATATACGACAATGGCTTTTCATGAATGAGTAAAGTTTGTAGTGAGAGGTTCAGAATCAGTCTTTTCAAAAAGAAGATAAAGAACTTATTTGCCTTATGATAAGAGAAAAGAATAATATAATTTATTATCAGTCATCAATAAAAGTTTTTCAAACCCACTTTGGCGTGGAACACATATTTTTATTGAAGAACAAAACATAAACACCAAAGGAAGTTTATGTAACCTTTTTTTTTTAAGGTTAATCATTGTATCACACAAGCTAGAAAGATGAGAAGTGACCCGTGACTTATGTAGCTAATTAAATTCTCCATAATGATAATTAATAAGAGATATAATTTACACCATTAATACAATAATTATTTTATATCAGTTCTAATAGAAAATATAATCATTCACCATTAGTTCAGAAATTATGTCATATCAATCTTCAAAAGATGCTCCATTGTTGGCTTTAAATGCTCAGTCAATAATCTTAAATTATTCCATTCTTCACATTGAAAGTTGTTTGAGCTCCTCATAGAAAGATAAAGAGAAAAAGAAAAAGTGAAGCGACATTTCCCTTTTTAAGCATAAGTAATACTTCATTCGCAGAGTAGAGACAGGTTAATGGTCCCCATTTAAGAACCAAAGAAGTAACTTCATGATAAATATATATAACAATTAACAACATGATATCTACAAGTAGAACCTTGTAATTTTTTATGCCATGCTTATGTGGTGCATTATAGCACAGTTTCGGCCATGAATTTCCTTAAAAGCCACTCGGTTTCCTTGTTCTCATATTCAAATATGCAAGATGATATTCTCTTAAAGAAGCTCCTCCTTACACACGATCCAGATGGTCGTTGGCTTGATTCTGAGACCATGCTTCATGCTGTGGGCAACATTATGTTTCATGCTTCCACAATAGCAGTAAATTTTACACCCTTGATCTTGATATGCCGTGCATGCTGTTATATAAACTCTTGTATTCTCATGCATTTTTTATTTTATTTTTTTCTATTTAGGGTATATTGATAAGCATTTTGGTGTAGATAACTAGTCATCCAAAATCTGAAATGTTTAGCAATGTTGCTTGATCTTTAAGCACTTAGAATATGTGATCATGATAGCCTCATCAAGTAAAAAGGCTAATTATGTCATGGAAAGTTGCCATTAACATCACTAAGGAAGTGGTGAATAAGTAGATATACTGATATTTTAAATGCTGTCAAGTGTCAACAACATTAGGAGATAATAAAGACTTCATCCTTTTTTCTTTTTTTTTTCCTGTTAAATTTAATAAATAAGAATTCCCCAACCTTAATGTTATATTAATATACATTAACATATTACCTGCATTGAAGTTTTCATGTCATGATTTCAATTGGCTTCACATGTTTCAGGTGGCTTCTAATTTATATTCTGCCTCCTTTCAGAAGAATGATATAACTGAAATTGAAACACTTGGTTGTGGTGAACCAGTAGGATGCATAATCACAAAACTATGCAAGGTGCTTCATATTCCTTATTTTGATCATGTTGGTGCATGCGCATGCACTTATTATTAACATGTCTATTTTATTGGCAGATACTCTGCAAATGCTCTGGTGAAGGTGATGTTAACTCAAGGATATTGAGTCTGTTTGATTTGATAGGGAATTATAGCTGGGATGCAAAAGTAGTTTTAGTGCTTGCTGCTTTGGCTGCAAGATATGGTGAATTCTGGCAACTTATGCAGATATACCCTGGCAATACTTTGGCGACTTTAATTTGGAGTCTTAAGCAGCTGCCCTGCAACTTAAGTCCACTGAAGCCACAAATAAAGGCATTGAGCTTGTTGGTTAAGACCATGATGGATGTGGCTATGTGTATCATTAAGTTTGAATCACTGCCCCTTCAACATGTAGAGCTAGGAGATGATATACTCCTAGTCACAAAGTCTGTTATATATGAATCTGTATACTGGATCACCAGAAGCAGTTTGGCATGTTTCTCTCAAGTCATGGATTTCACAAACAAGAAACATGAGCAAGTGCATGTTCTTTCCCTTGAGGCTTATAGATCAATAATGTCAAACATGCATAATTCTTTTTTCTAGTATTTGACATAGTGACTCAAAGTTATTGATAGTTTCAAATGCATGGGGAAAAAATGACTTGGGATGTTCTTTCTGATGTATTCACACATTTCAGGTATTCAGATTCAACAATAATTGCTGCTTGGGAGCTCTCAAGTTTGGCGTATAGGTTAAGTAGCATATACAACATTCTTAGAGGACAGGTGGATGTGTGTCACACAGAAATAGGTTACTTTTAAGCTTCATAATAGTGCTTATAATGGAAGATTAATAAACAATTCTTAGTTATGCACTTACATCAGTGATATATAATATTGTTTCAGAGAGAAACTTACATGTCAGGCTCTTGAATCTTGTTCACGAGGAGCACATTGATAACCAGAAGGTTCTCAATTTATTTTTTCCTTCGAAGAATTACTTGTCATTGAAGAATTGCTCAACACAAGTAAAGGTATCATGCTCTTTAATTGTCATTTGTGTGCTGTGAAAGACATTGCAGAACCAAAAAAAGGAAAATGAAGACTTTCTGACAGGATTTTACAGTTTCTAATATTTATTGTCTGTCATCTACAGCTTGGAGTGTCTGAACTGAAAAATAGGATAGTTCTGCTGTTGATCTCAAAGCCGGAGCTACTCACCATGGAAGAATTACTCTTACTGGTTCAGCAAACATTTGATCATCCTTTGAACGAGGTGTTGAGGGACAGTTATAAGATTTTGTGGATTCCCCTTCCATCTTCTGATACATGGACTGATGCTGAAGAGATTAGTTTCAATTTTCTATCAGATTCCTTGCCTTGGTATGCTGTTTGTAAACCAAGGTTACTTAGCTCAGCAATGGTGAAGTACATTAAGGAACAATGGAACTACAAGGATGAGCCCATCATGGTAACACTGGATTCAAATGGGAAGGTTACAAATTCCAATGCTCTTGATATGATCAAGATTTGGGGAGCCCAAGCATATCCCTTTTCGGCTACAAAAGAGGCAGAGCTATGGCAAGACCAGAATTTGACAATGCAACTTTTGCTGGATGATATCAATCCTCTCCTTGCAACTTGGGTAGGAGTCTGATTCATAGCATATTTTGATACACATTTCAGCAGTTTTATTGTATGTAACATGCTTAGATTTTACATTGTACTATGTGTCAGGTTAAACAAGGCAAGAATATTTGCCTCTATGGGAGTGAAAACTTGGCTTGGATCCAAAAATTCAATGATAGCATAACTAAGCTCAAAGGAGCAGGTCTGCAACTGGAAACAATATATGTTGGTAACAGTAAGTTAAGTGAACAAGTTAAAAAAATAATGGCAAGAACTGCTGAAATGAATCTCAGTGGTCCACTTTCCTTCACAAAAGTAAAATTCTTTTGGCTTCGGTTGGAGAGTATGAGAAGGTCTAAACTCCAAGTAGGGAGAACACCAAGTTGTGATCATGTACTAGCAGAGCTGTCAGCTTTGCTTGACATGAATGATAGAGAGGAAGGTTGGGCAGTGATTGGAAATGGGAGTTCAACTGATGTTTTTAGGCTTCAAGGAATGCAGGTGATGGAATTCTTAAGGAATTATCCTGAGTGGGGAGAAAATATAGCCAAGTTGGAATTGTCTGGTGCCCCAAGAAACTTCCTACCCCCTACTTTTCTTGCAGGGCCTTGCAGTCACTCTTGCTTAGTTCCCTCAAGTAAAAGTACAGGACTAATTCAAGGAACTGTAATTTGTCAAGTGTGCAAGCATCCCATGAAGAAGTTTGAGGTGTACCAGCCATGAATAAGACAGATACAATAGGTAAATTGAGCTTTGTGTGTTACCTCCAAGTTTGTCTCTTATTTTGAGGTGTCAAGGCATTTAAATAGGAAACATTATTATTAAAAATTCTAATTAGAAACAAAACCAATCCAGTTTCATTTTTATTTTAATTGAGGTCTTCTTTTGTTTTTGGGCTTTATACCTTTGCTGTTAATGTATAGGATCAGATTTTGCAGCAGAGAGAAACAAATGTGGGACCCACATATTTTTTGAAAAATAAAAATAATATGGCATAAATTGTGATGAGTTTACGGCTGTAAAAAAACTTCTTCTTCTGTGGCAGAAGAAGTATTTTACCTTTTGTTTTGGGCTTTATATCTCTGCAGAGGATCAGATTTTGCAGCAGAAAGAAACAAATGTGGGACCCACCATATTTTTTGAAAAATAAAAATAAAAATAATATGGCATAAATTGTGATAAGTCTATGGCTGTAAAAAACTTCTTCTGCGGCAGAAGAAGTGTTTTACCCTTTGTTTTAGGCTTTATATCTCTACATAGGATCAAATTTTGCAGCAGAGAGAAACAAATGTGGGACCCACCATATTTTTTGAAAAATAAAAATAAAATTAATATGGCATAAATTGTGATGAGTCTATGGCTGTAAAAAACCTCTTCTTCTGTTGCAGAATAAGTGTTTTACCCTTTGTTTTGGGCTTTATACCTCTGTAGAGGATCAGATTTTGCAGAAGAGAGAAACAAATGTGGGACCCACTGTAACATCCTTGTCTCGAGCCGGTTCAATTAACATGCATATGATACAAACAGAAACAGCGGAAGACTTACTTACGAAAATACGAGCTAACTTTTCCTTTTTCTAGTTTAATTCTTATTCGGCGGAGACGAAAATCGGACAGAGTAACCTCTGTAAATCGGACAACTGGGGATTTTTCAATCCCACTCTCAAGAGTTCCTGATAGACAGTTTATACAGTATATAATTTCAGAAGTACCAGACATCCAAATATAATCATATAACCATCCATGGGCGCATGCATAACATGACTCCGTGCCAATATATCTAACAACATGCAATCCAACACGTAAACATAACTGAATACTACATCGTCATATCAACATGCCTGAATACACAAATGTACATGCATCAAACTGGAAGACATGTACAAAACATATACAGGCCATATACAAGTAAAGGATCAGACATCATGATGCACAAAATGCTGAAATACTAAATCACATAAATGCACTGCAAAATAGTAGTAGCGTACGGCTACTCAAAATCTGATCCGTCCAAACGCCTCAACCACGGGTCGCGTCCCTGCCTACTCAGGACTCACCGGGAATCTGAGAACCTGAAATGATGTCCCCAAAGAGGGATGAGATAACAAATCTCAATAAGCTCTAGGTTTATAGAGAATTCTCCATACCCCTAGCTCACTCCTGCATGAAAGTCAGATACAGAGTATACAAATGCAACATATAACAGAACAAAGCATATATACATATCTTATCAGAGGCGTGCGCCGTCATTCCCAAGTAGGATCCCAAGCGAAATTTAACGCACGTGTTCCCAAGGGAGGACCCCAAGCGGAACCAGAACATGTTAGAGGCGTACATCGTCAATCTCAGGGAAACCCCAAGAAGACATCAGTGTACCATACAATCAATTCAGAAATCATATCAAAACAAGTCATATCATGTTATCAAATAGCTCTATATGAATGCATCTATACAAGGCATCAAAACAATCATACCATCCAACCGCAGTTCACTAACTATGGTGGAGCACTAAAGCAGGAAAAGACTCCTTAAACATAGAGCTTACCTCTTGAAGCTTTTCTAATTCGCTTACTTGTCGCACAAGTTACTTGTATAGCTTCAACAGGATCCAAACCCGTTTCAGTCCCTAGGCACACCTAGAGAAAGAATCCAAAACAAAAATCAATAAAATGCTATCATGCCGAGATTTTACATAAGGCATACATTCTATCGCTTACTTTCGTTTCTTTACATTTTTGACAATCTTATGCCAATACACAAGTCTAGACCATACTTTCATAAATTCTCTTATTAGACCATTTTACAACATTAATCACTCCCTAGCCCCCAAAGACCCTAGATGGCTGAAACCAATGTTAGGAATGACTAGGAATTTACATCAATTTATTTGGCAAAACCAATAGTTCCTAGAACCCTCACTTGGCTCCTAAATTAACTCGGTATCCGCTTGAAAATTTTAAACATAATTCATGCCACTTTTCTTCATAAAGCCGTGGACATACCTAAAGAGAACCAAGATATCTTTCAACGATTTTCAAGTCATTTGACTTCTTAATCTTATCAATTATATGCATTGGAAACACAACAAAATGTAACATAATTCATCATTAAATCACCCTATAGGCCGAAACATAGGTGTACAACACCATAGCATTTTTCTCACTTTGGTATTTTCATTTTTACACTTAAATCTCCACTTACACCAACATAACACATTCGTAATCCATGTAATTAAATTTTTTGCACAATAAACCCTATCTAACCTATCAAGGCCGAAACCTAGGGAGGAAGGTGCAAAGGGACTTTTCAATTTTCAATCAAAGGTTGATGCTTAATTCACACTACAACTTCCTAAACAACAACAATTCATCATCAATTTCAATTTCAAAACTAAATTATTTCCCACCAAAATATACTCACAATTATCAAGACTTAATTCACAAACATAAAACCATAGAATTAGAGGTTTCTTACCTATAGTTGCTATTCCAAGCTCCAAAGAACAAAACCTAAGCTTTGCTTGCTCAAAAGCCCCACTTTTTCACAAGGATGAATAGTGTCACGAATTGGGGGTGATGAATAACTCTCTCCACAAGCCAAATCAGCCTAAATAGAGTGGTGGAATGGCTTCACTAGCCTTTTTCCTTAAAGATGCATGTATGACATCATGGCTTTTGGTGGCAAAATGAGTGGAAATGAGAGGAAAGAGAGAGAGAAAACCCTAACCCTTAACACCCATTGAAGCTTCGGTGAGAAAAAAAAGAGAACGACAGTGGCACGTAGAAGGAAAAGAGATTTAAAGGATTTTTACGGTTTGTAAAGTTAAGTTACTTTAACTGGGTAAATGCTTATCTATCTACACACCTCCATTTAATACCAAACTTTATCAAATGAACTAGAATATTTTTCTAGTCATATTTTTAACTTTACTTTTGCATTCCGGGTAATTTTTCTTACACTCTTTTTACCCCTTAACTGTCATTTTAACTCCTTTTTCACCAAAGGTGACTTTATTTCTTTTACTTCTAATTATTCTTTAATATTAAATCCACAATTACTAGTAAGGATTATTATACCCACCATATTTTTTGTAAAATAAAAATAAAATTAATATGGCATAAATTGTGATGAGTCTATGGTTATAAAAAATTTCTTCTTCTGTTGCAAAAGAAGTGTTTTACCTGTTGTTTTGGGCTTTATATCTCTGCAGAGGATCAAATTTTGCAGCAGATAGAAACAAATGTGGGACCCACCATATTTTTTGTAAAATAAAAAAAAATATGGCATAAATTGTGATGAGTCTATGGTTATAAAAAATTTCTTCTTCTGTTGCCGGAAGAAGTGTTTTATTGTTTAAGGCTTTATATCTCTGCAGAGGATCAAATTTTGCAGCAGATAGAAACAAATGTGGGACCCACCATATTTTTTGAAAAAAAAAAAAAAATATGGCATAAATTGTGATGAGTCTATGGTTATAAAAAATTTCTTCGTCTGTTGCAGAAGAAGTGTTTTACCCTTTGTTTTGGGCTTTATATCTCTGCAGAGGATCAAATTTTGCAGCAGATAGAAACAAATGAGGGACCGACCATATTTTTTGAAAAATAAAAATAAAATTAATATGGCATAAATTGTGATGAGTCTATGACTGTAAAAAAACTTCTTCTTCTGTGGCAGAAGAAGTGTTTTACCTTTTGGTTTGGGTTTTATATCTCTGCAAAGGGTCATATTTTGAAGCAGAGAGAAGCAAATATGGGACCCACCATATTTTTTGTAAAATAAAAATAAAATTAATATGGCATAAATTGTGATGAGTCTATGGCTGTAAAAAACTTCTTCTTCTGTGGCAGAGGAAGTATTTTACCCTTTGTTTTGGGCTTTATACCTCTGCAGAGGATCAAATTTTGCAGCAAAGAGAAACAAATGTGAGACCCACCATATTTTTTGAAAAATTAAAATAAAATTAAAATGGCATAAATATGATACAAACAGAAACAGCAGAAGACTTAACTTACGAAAATACGAGCTAACTTTTTCTTTTTCTTTAATCCTTTTTCACATGACATCTCACATTGCATACTTCTTCTAATTTAATTCTTATTTGACGGAGACAAAAAACAAACAGAGTAACCTCTGTAAATCAGACAATTGGGGATTTGCAAATCTCACTCTCAAGGTACCCTGATAGACAATTTATACAGTATATACTTTCAGACATACCATATATCCATATAGGATCATATACCCATCCATGGGCGCATGCATAACTTGGCTCCGTGCCACTATGTCTAACAACATGCAATCCAACACATAAACATAAACTGAATACTACATCATCATATCAACATGCCTAAATACTCAAATATACATGCATCCAACTGAAAGACATGTACTAAACATATACAGGCCATATACAAAATAAAGGATCAGACCTCATGATCACTAAATGAATAGAACACTATACAACAATACATGTTCCTCAAAAATAACATCTATAATAAATAGTAGCCTCCGGCTACCCAGAACTCCATATCCTCATACTAGTACCTCTAGCCATGGGTAGTGTCCTTGTCCCATAAGGGCTCTTCAATTAACTGTGTTCCTGAAATCATATCCCCAAACGGGGTTAGAGACGAATCTCTAGTAAACTCCAGGTTTATAGAGAACTCTCCATACCCTGGGCTCACTTCCTGCATGACAGTCAGATACATAATATACAAAAAATCATATATCATACTATACTGAACATATCTCGTATAACATATCATATAATCAAATATCATAACTAAACAAAGTATATACACAAATCTTATCAGAGACGTACGCAGTCATTCCCAAGGGATGACCCCAAGCGGAAATCAACGCACGTAACAAATATCATATACAAAAATCATCACAATAATCACATCAGAACAAAGCATATCATATCAGAGATGTCCGTAGTCAATCCCAAGGGATGACCCCAAGCAGAAATCAACGTACATGTTCCCAAGGGAGGACCCCAAGCGGAACCAAAAACATATCAGAGATGTACACTATCAGTCCCGAGGGATGCCCAAGTAGATATTAGTGCACATAGGATCAATGGTCAAAGATCATCACATAACAGAGGTGTACACAATCAATCCCAAGGGAGGACCCCAAGCGAAAATCAGTGCACTATGTTCCCAAGGGAGGACCCCAAGCGGACCTCAGTGCATAAACAAATCAATATCCATAGATCATTACATAAATCATATCAAAACATATCAAAGTAAACACCTCAAAAGATATCAAAGTAAACACATCAAAACCTATCATATCACATCATCATATAGCTCTATATGAATGCATCTATATCATATATCTCATACATATCATACAACCTGACCACAGTCCGTACACTATGGCGGAACACAAGGTAGGAGCGAACCCCATAAACATAGAGCTTACCTTTTGAAGCTTTACCAATTTGCTCACTTGTAACACAAGTTACCTATCTAGCTCCAAAGGAATCCAAACACGCTCAGTCCCTAGGCACACCTAGAGAAAGAATTCAAAACGAAATCAATAAAATGTTATTATGCCATGAAATTTACACAAGGCATACATCTTATTGCTTACTTTCATTTCTTCACATTATGCCAATTTACAAGTCAAGACCATCTTTTCTTAAGATCATTATTTAACATATTTACGGATGATTACTCGTAACACAGGCAACCACTCGGTTTCATAATTACCTAGGGTCCTTAAATGACCCAACCAAGCTTCTAACATAAACTTTACAATTTTTAACATTTCCTAGTTCCAGAATTCATGCAATGGCCAAAATCAATACCAAGAAAGGCTAGGAATTTTCATCAATTCTTTTTACACAACCACTGGTTCGTAGAACCCACACTTAGCCCCTAAATTATTCATATATTCTCATAATTTTTTTTTTTAAGTTTAACTTTGTCTAATTTTTGTTCACAAAGTCATGGCAACTTATACAAGGGAGCTAAGGTGCCTCTCATTTTGCCTTAAACCATTTAACTACCAAATCATACTTAAATCATGCATTAGGACTTAAATGCATCACTAAAATAATTTGAACATAATTTTCCCTTATAAAACCCTAAGGTGCTGTTTGGTTGAGGGTTTTCTATAACTTGCCTATGCAAATAAAAGTGGCAAATTAAGACACCCACATTTGGTAGGCAGTTTTTCTTAAGTTCCCCATCCATTATATTTCCCTATCATTCTTCATCTGGTGGTAGAAAGCAAGCTATTGGCACTATTAGGAAAGACAAATTGGAGGTGGGTTTTTCTCCTTAGATGGGAAAATGGCAAAAGTGGAATCAAGATAAGACTGTAATACCCTCATGTAAAGCATGAAGAAAGAGGCGAAGAAAATGTACTGTCTCGCAACTTTCCAATTGGTTTGGCCTGGACAACTATCAACGAAGAGCCCTTGTCTACTGAAGGCTGATCGTAGCAACTCCTTCACTGCAAATTAGTGTTATTGAAAGCTTTGATCAGGATTTGTCTGCCTATTGATTTATGGCATCAAATAAATGCCCCCTCAAATTTACAATTTTTTTATTTTCCCAAAAATTTTAAAAACAGGGATATTTTCGTAATTGTCACTTATTTCCCCATCTATATTTTACCTCAAATCAAACATAGACTTTATAAATCTTACCTAATTTGTCCATCTATATTTTTTACAACCAAACAACTTTTTTTACATTTTCCTATCAAACTCACTTTCCAACTATTTCCTTATCAATTACATTTCCCTAGTATTCAAAAAATTTCTCCTCAACCAAACGCCCCCTAAAGGCCGAAATGCATAGGGTAGGTTTCCAAGGGATTTTTCCACAATGTAATCTCACCTTGATACTTAATCTCAACGTACACCACTATTCAAACCTTCACAATTTAGGCAATTAAATTTTTGCACGGTAAATCCTAAATAACCTACTATGGCCGAATCCTAGGGTAGTTTCAAGGGAATTTTTCTTAAATTTTTTAAACACATATTCATAGTTATTCTACATTACCACTTACTACACAACACTAATTCATCACAATTTTCAAATTTCAAACTCAAGCTTCCCACCAAAACATACTTCAAATTTTCAAAACTTAAATCACAAAATTCAAACCATGGAAATAGAGATTTCTCACCTCTAATTCTTTATACCAAGCCTAGAGAACAACCTCCAAGCAAAGCCCCATGAAAATTTACAATTTCTTTCCTTGATGAATAGTGATCCGAATTGGGGGAAGAGGATATCTTTTTCCACAAGCACTTTCAGCCCAAAATAGATGGTGGAATGGATTCCTTGAGTGATTTACTATAGATTTCGTCTAATGCACTTTAGGATTTTGATGATTGTAGAGTGAGAAATCAAGGAAGGAAAGCTTGAAGCCAAGCTTCCATGGAGGCTACGGTGAGAGAGAAAAACAAGAAAAGAAAGCGCGCATGAAAGAAAAATGAATACGGAGGTGTCACGTTTTCTAAGTATAAAATAGGTCACACTTTCATTCAATACCAAACTTTACTCAATGAATTAGAATATTTTTCTAGTTATGTTTCTAACTTTACTTTCACTTTTCGGGTAACTTTGTTTACTCGCATTTTTATCCTTTAATTGTCATTTTAACTCTTTTTTATCAAAGGTGACTTTATTTCTTTTACTTCTAATTATTCTTCAATATTAAATCTATTATTACTAGTGATGGTTATTATATTTTGGACTTTATACCTCTGCAGAGGATCAATTTTTGCAGCAGAGAGAAACAAACGTGGAACTCACCGTGTTTTTGGAAGAAATAAAAATAAAATTAATATAGCATAAATTGTGTATGTAGCTGTAAAACTTCTGCGGCAGAAGAAGTGTTTTACCCTTTGTTTTGGGCTTTATACCTATGTTGTTAATGCCTGTGAAACAAAATTATCATTTCATATTTTCCACTGTAACTATTGGCATCTACCCAAATGAAAGAAAGTTTGATAATCCAATCACGACCTATGATTAAATAGCATTAGCCAAGAACATTAAGTTATAACTAAAACTATGTGAAAATGGCACGGTTCTTCAGGATTGCAAGGAAACAAAATTGAGAAACAATGCATATGCGTATTGACATCAAGTTTAGTGACCATGTTGTAGCCTAATCAAGGAGTAATAAGTTCCATTTGATCCAACGTTCAATAACTCTGAGTGTGATCCTTGTTCTACCACCTTACCATTTTTAATCACAGCTATGGAGTCAACACTTTGTATTGTTGACAAACGGTGAGCTATGACTACACATGTTCTTCCAACCATCATTTTCTCCAGCGCCTCCTGCACTAGATTCTCTGACACACTGTCTAAAGCACTTGTTGCCTCATCTAAGAGAAGGATTGATGGGTTCTTAAGCACTGCTCGAGCAATTGCTATCCTTTGTTTCTGCCCTCCTGATAGCTGCACTCCTCTTTCTCCACACCAAGTATCATACCCATCTCTCATTGAACTGCATCAAGCAAATTGTGTAACTTTGAAAGCAACTAACTTTTGTATGTTTGATATATTTTGGGTTGAATTGATTTTTTTTTTATGGTTTCAGAGCTTCTATGATTAAGTAATCACGAGTTCGATCAGGTGTGTTAGAGAAATAATATATAAAACAATTAATGTGTCATTTAAGTTTCTGAATTGAATTGGTTCTTTAGAATTTTTATTTTGAGTGAAAAAGAGAAATTAGAAACTTTACCTTATAAACTCATGAGCATTTGCAAGACGTGCTGCCCTTCTTATTTCATCCTCTGATGCATCCTTCTTACCATACACAATGTTGTCACGTATAGTTCCTGCAAAGAGGGTAGGCTCCTGACTCACCAGGGCAATATGTGATCTCAAACTTTTCAAATCAAATTCCTTAATGTCACAATTGTCTATGGATATGGACCCTTTCATGGGATCATAAAATCTTTCAATCAAGCCAATGATGGTGGATTTCCCTGAGCCACTTTGTCCCACTAATGCTACTGTTTTGCCAGCTTCAATACCTAGACTGAGGCCCTTGAGAATCATTTGATCTGGCCTTGCTGGATATGAAAAAAAGATGTCTTTCAGTTTTATATGGCCCTTCATAGTCTTCTTGAACTTACCATGTCTAGGATCTTCAGGTTCAATCTGACTCTTCCTATCAAGTAATGCAAACACTGAACTAATGGCTGTTCCACTTTTAGCTATGTCAGAAGTCATGCTTCCTGCTTCTGCAATTTGTCTACCAGTACCCATCAAAATGAGGAAAACTTGCAAAAGATGTTTGGATTCCACTAACCCTTGATTTAATAACCGGCCTCCATACCAAAAAGTCAAAGTTATAGATGCTGTTGTTATAAACTGTGATGCTGACAATATGGAACCTGAAATCCATGATTGCTTGATGCTTTCCTTCTTGGGGCCTTCCATAGCAGTTCTGAACAAACTCAGTATCCTTTTCTCTGATGAGAATGCAGCAATAGTCCTGTGGTTAATAGTGGCTTCCATTGCTAACTGACTACCCTCTCTTTGAGCCTTTCGTGCTTTTCCTGACATACTTTTCATTAGAATGCTTTTTGAATAGAAACATGCAATGATCAAAGGCTGCATAGCGATCATGACAATAGCAACCCTCCAAGTAACGATTAAACTGAGTACAAAAGCCAGGGAAGCCATAACGGAAACCTGAACTAACAATGACACTCTTTCAGCAACAAGTGATCGAACCAAGTTGGCATCAGTTGCCAAACGTGCACATATTGCTGCACTTGTGTTCTCCTCTTGGTCAAACCATCCTACTTCAAAGGTCATCAGCTTTTCTAGCAAAACTTCTCGCACCCTTTTTAGCAAACGCTCTCCCATGATAGCAAAATTGTAATGTTGAAGAAGGCCTGAAATGAAGTTGACAATGGCTATGCAGCAGAAGATGGAAGAGTACAACCTTATTTGTGATTTGATGCGAGAGTCATCTTTTATGAAGTAAACTGATGCAACTATTCCCAAGCAATAGGAATAAATTGGTTGGCATATTCCTGAACCAATGGCACCTAAACACCCCAACAAAGCATACTTCCATTCAGGGGCATTCATTTGTAGTAAACGCCATTGGGAGAAGTTTGAATGAGAAGATTTCTCAAAGTTTTCACTGTTGTAGTCATCACAGCATGACCCTGTAACACTGATTGAATATATGGGGCTAAATGGTTGTGAGAGGCTAAATGCATGATGAGTTGGGGTGCTCTTCCAGCTTGAAGTTGGACTTGTTAGATTTTCCATAGCATGAGGACTCTTGTTTATATTATTATGCAATGCATTTTCGTTTTGACTTGTTGTTTGTTGCAGTTGTAGCATTTTGCTGTAAGTGCCACCTTGTCCATTGTTCAGTTGGAGTAGTTCATTATGTGAACCACATTCAACCACTTTTCCTGATTGAAGAACTACTATTGAATCAGCCTTGCGAATTGTGGATAGGCGATGGGCTATGATGATTGTAGTCCTGCCTCTAGAAGCTAAATCAAGGGCATCTTGCACTACTCTTTCAGACTGTGAATCCAAAGCACTAGTGGCTTCATCAAGTAGTAGGATTTTAGGGTCTCTTATTAAAGCCCTTGCAATGCCAATCCTCTGCTTTTGCCCCCCAGACAACTGAGCTCCGAGTTGTCCCACCTAAATAACAAGTAACAATTTTCTAAGCAATCAAATTCAGCAATATAAAATTGTTGGTCAAGGTTCTCGTTATTGTTAGAGAAATATAATATAAAATTACTAATGTGACATTCACCTAACAATTAAAGTTTTTGAGTTGAATTGGTTGCTTTACATGAAATTCGGAGCCTATGTTATCAAGTGATCATGATTTTCATCCTCACTATCCCCCATTCTATTAATAAATAATTATTATGATAGAGTTTCTTAGCAGAAGCATGTGATTTGTATATTATTCACTCTTTAAGTCTAAGAGATTCTTGAATGAAGGGATGCATTAGAGAAATATAATAAAAAATCATTATTATGACTTTCACCTAATAGTTTAAACTTTTTACCTGAATTTACGCTTTACAATTATCAAAATCAAAAGGAGAAATAAAAAAAGAAAGAAGACAGGAAGTGTGAAATGGGAGATAATTCATGGCTTACTTGAGTTTCATATCCATTAGGAAGTTTAACAATGAAATCATGTGCATTTGCTGCCCTTGCTGCGCTTGTAACATCTTCCATTGAAGCTCCTTCCTTGCCAAATAGAATGTTCTCCCTTATGGATGTTGCAAAGAGAATTGGCTCTTGATTTACCAGTCCCATCTGGGACCTTAACCACTTAAGTTGGAGTCTCTTTATATCATATCCATCAAGAAATATCTCACCATATGAAGGATCATAAAATCTTTCAAGCAAGGAGATGAAAGTAGATTTGCCAGAACCACTCCCTCCAACTAGGCCTACTGTTTTACCAGCCTGCACTTTTAGATTGAGTCCTTGGAGAATCAGTGCATCAGGCCTTGATGGGTAACTAAAGTCAACCTCTTTAAATTTGATCTCTCCTCTCACATGTTTTAAGATCTTCCCTTTTTCTTTATGTGAGTTTATAGTTGGCTCTCGGTCAATCATCTCAAAAATCCGGGTAGCAGCTATTGTTGCCTCTAATATGTGAGCAAGATTTGGTAGTGCATTCATCAGACACCTGCATATTTTAACTTGAAATTAACACTAGTGGCAAGCGAACTACCACAGCCAAGAGAAGCACATTTTTTTCTCCAAGACAATATTAATTTATTTCATACGTTGATTCAATATCTTATCAGAATATTTTAGTACATCCAACTCATTTTCCCTAGTAATATGAACATGTTTTAAAGGAGTTTTTATCTTAAAACTTGTAACATTTACTACTACTTAGGAAAACTTTAAAAAGAAAAGGGGGAAAAATTCTGAAGATACTTACAATCCTCCCCAAATGATACATATTTCAGCACCAAACACATGACCACCACTTTCTCCTTTGGTCCTGACCAGAACACTCCCAGCCCAAGATTGGAATGCCCAAGTAGCATATAGCAACCCAATGCTCCCAATAACCAATCCCTTTGTTTGACCTTGCTTTATGCCAAGCTGCATAACTTTTTCAAGAGCAGAGCTGAACTTGTTTAGTGTTTGCTTCTCACCAACATATGAATAAACAGTACGAATTGATGAGATAGCTTGTTCTGCTATGCTACCAGCAACTCCATATGCATCCTTCATTTTATTTCCAAGCTCTTTCAGATCCTTCCCAAATATGATCGCTGGCATGATCATCATAATTGAAAATGGAAAAGCAGCTACTGCAAGTCTCCAAGAAAGGAAGAGTGCCACTATAAAGCAAGAGAAAAATGCTGAGAGGTTAACCAGACAATTGGGTACCTACAACAAACAGATACCAAAATAATTTTAGCACAAAGGATTAAAAAACATAGAGGAGGAAGTTCATGTAAAAGAACCAATTCAACCCAAAAGTTTAAGCTGTTGGGTGAGGCTACATTAGTGGTTTTATATATCTCAACATGCCTACTCACACGAGAGTCCATTGGGCTTGAAGAGTGGACAATGCACAGGCTCACTACCTGTACGAAGAAAGAAATTCCACTAGAAAGAAAGTTTGAGAGGCAGTGAGGATCAAACCCGGTACACCGAGGCTCTGATTGTAAAACTATTTGTGTCTCATGTGTGATGTGTGTCAATTGGTTTGATTAATAATAAAAGAGGCTTTAAGGTAATTGACGTTTCACATTAATGATAATTGACGTTTTAACGTTTTGCATTATGGTAACGTTTTGCATTAATGATAATTGACGTTTTAACGTTTTGCATTATGGTAACGTTTCGCATTAATGGTAATTGACGTTTTGACATTTCGCATTAAAGGAAGTTAATTAGAAATAACTGTGATAGGCCAGTTATATAATAGTTTATATGGTCAGTTTTCATATAAGGGTATCTGATAGAAAACAAACGTCCTTCTGAGTCTGCCTAGAAAAATTGTATCATATCCCTATCAAAGAAGGTACAAGAACGGTGAAAGGGTTAAGGCTCAGAGAAAGCATTCTACTGTTAAAGATCTTCCGCAATTATGGACAAAGGTATGTTTGTGTGAAACTCATGAATTCTAAAGATCATATGTCATGTTCTTGACTAATTACTGTTGAACATGAATCATGAATTATTGATTAAATTGCTTACATGTGGTATCAGAGCCTGTGTTTAAGAATTTGTGTTTTTCCATAAATAATTACGAATGGATTTCTGGTTCCTGAAAATTAGAGTTTTTGGAAATAAAATTTCCGATCATCATTGAAAATTCTCGATCATCACGCTAAAAGGTACTTCTCGATAGCCATTCGGTTTTCAATTACGGTTTCACAATTTCGAATTGCATATTACGGTTTCACAATTTGTTTTGTCCTCCTTTTGTGAATTGTGAATTATAAGGTCAATTTGCTCTTCTCTTTTTTGTGCTTCATGGAGAAAGTTGAAAACATATATGAGAATTCCCATCAAATGAAAACCACCGAAGCAAGGTACTGTGTAAATTTTAAACGTAAATTTGCTTCTCGATTTTCGTAATTATGGACAAAGCCTCAATTGATTTGAATGAAATCGTGAACCACTGTTGGTATTATGGAAAAAGTGAATGATATTGGATTTCATATTATTCTTGAAATCAATCAACTGTGCATCGTGTTTAATGGATAGTATTGCCATTCAGTTTTCGTGTTTTAGAATACTGCAACCTTCACGGTTTGGAAACTTGTTTTTTATTTTTTTCTAAACTGTAAATGCTTATGTGATGTGGTTGGATTAAAATTGAATGTGAAAATTTAATCCTATTATTGTTTATGAAATATTAAAGTTTTGGAATTAAATTATGATAGATTTGTTAGTCACCAAAGTGGCCAAATCTTGAAGAGTTGTTTTAATTTCAAATATTATGAACTTTATTTCAATTACCATGACTGTGATGCTATGAATAGTATGATATAATTATTATAGTTATGGTATATTGAAGTTCATTATTATAGAACAGTTGGGGATCAACCCAAAGGTTGATTATTTGTTTTATAAAATGAACATGGATGTTGGTATTGTTGGCATATTTCCTCACATTTGGACATCCAAAGATGACAAATAATTATGATAGGGGTATGCATCATTGCCAAATTATGTGAAATTTATATAGCATCATTATAGTTAATGTTGTATGTTAATGGATCCCCAAAGGCGAACATTAATATGCATTGAAGTTAGTATAGTTGAATCTATGCATTGAAGTTAGTATAGTTGAATCTGTGAAGTATGTCAGTATGTGACATGTATGACTCAAAGCATTAAGTCAGCTCTTCCACAAACTGAAAGTACCATCGAAATGATGAACTTGTGGAAGAACGCTCTCAAACCGTTGATAAGTCTCTTGTTGGGACACTTATGAGTACACTGACCACCATGAAGTTTGATGGTTCGCGTACTATGCATGAGCATGTTATTGAAATGACAAGCATTGCGGCAAAATTAAAATCATTGAGCATGTTATTAAAATCATTCTGTCAATTATGTAAAGCATCAAGAAGCTGAAAAGTATAAAGGTAAGATGCATGAGAGATAATTAGGGTTGGGTAGGAGGAGGAGGAGGAGGACCCCTTAAAGTGAATGAGGCCTCTTCTTCTAAAATCCACAAGGCCAAATGAAAAGTTTGTCTTTATGGGCAATAGAGTGAAAGTTCCGGTGGAAGCTGTTGGGACGTATCGTTTAATTCTCGACAGTGGATATCATTTGGACTTATGTGAAACTTTGTATGTCCCTAGTATATCTAGGAATTGAGTTTCAATTTCCAAACTTGATGTTGCTGGATACTCTTTTAAATTTGGTAGTGGTAGTTTCAGTTTGTACAAGCACAATCATTTGATTGGTAATGGTACTTTATGTGATGGATTATATAAATTATGTCTTGATAATCTTTATGCTGAAACACTTATGACTCTGCATCATAATGTTAGTACTAAACGTACCTTAATTAATGAGTGTTCCGCTTACTTGTGGCACAAACGTTTGGGACATATTTCCAAAGAAAGGATGAAAAGATTGGTAAATAATGAAATCCTTCCGGATTTAGACTTTACTGATTTGAATGTTTGTGTGGATTGTATTAAAGGAAAACAAACAAAACACACAAAGAAAGGAGCCACAAGGAGCACTCAGCTTCTTGAAATTATACACACTGATGTATGTGGTCCGTTTGATGTTAATGCCTTCAATAAAGAAAAATATTTTATCACTTTCATTGATGATTATTCACGTTATGGTTATGTCTATTTGTTGCATGATAAGTCTCAAGCTGCAAATGCTTTGGAGATTTATATTAATGAAGTTGAAAGGCAATTAGACAGAAAGGTGAAGATTGTCAGGTCTGATAGGGGTGGTGAATATTATGGAAGGTATGATGAAAGTGGACAACATCCGGGCCCATTTGCTAAATTTCTGGAAAAGCGTGGTATTTGTGCTCAATACACAATGCCCGGTACACCGCAACAGAATGGTGTATCAGAAAGGCGTAATAGGACCTTACTGGATATGGTTAGGAGTATGTTAAGTAATTCTTCTTTACCTGTTTCATTGTGGACTTATGCTCTAAAAACTGCCATGTACGTATTGAATAGGGTTCCTAGTAAGTCAGTTCCAAAGACTCCTTTTGAACTTTGGACTGGAAGGAAACCTAGTATAAGACACCTGCATGTTTGGGGTTGTCAGGCAGAGATTAGATACTACAATCCGCAAGAAAAGAAACTGGATGCAAGGACAATCAGTGGTTATTTCATTGGTTATCCAGAAAAATCGAAAGGGTATAGATTTTACTGTCCTTATCATACTACAAGGATTATTGAATCTGGAAATGCAAGGTTCATTGAGAATGGTGAAGTTAGTGGGAGTGAAACACCACGTAAAGTGGATATTCATGAAGTGAGAGTACAAGTTCCATTACCTTGTAGCTCTAGTAAAGTTATTGTTCCTTATGCTATTGAACCAATCAATAATAATGAAGGACAAGTTAATGATCCCACTACTCATGAAGAGATCATTGTTGATGAACCGAATGAACCCATAGTAGAAGAACCACAACAAATAGCATTAAGAAGATCTCAAAGAGAAATGAGACCTGCTATTTCTAATGATTATGTGGTATATCTACAAGAGTTTGAATTTGACATGGGTATTCAGGATGATCCAGTAACGTTTTCACAAGCCATGAATGGAGAAAATGGTGATAAATGGTTAGATGCTATGAAAGATGAGTTGAAATCTATGGAACAGAACAAGGTGTGGGATCTTGTTGAGTTACCAGAAGGGTGCAAGAGAGTTGGTTGTAAATGGGTCTTTAAGACCAAACGTGACTCTCATGGTAACTTGGAACATTACAAGGCCAGACTAGTTGCAAAGGGATTCACTCAGAAAGATGGCATTGACTATAAAGAAACTTTCTCACCAGTTTCAAAGAAGGATTCTTTAAGAATTATTATGGCATTGGTGGCTCATTATGATCTAGAGTTACACCAAATGGATGTGAAAACCGCCTTTCTAAATGGAAATTTAGATGAAGATGTGTACATGGACCAACCAATGGGGTTCATAGAAAAGGGTAAAGAGCACATGGTGTGCAAACTTAAGAAGTCAATATACGGACTTAAACAAGCTTCGCGGCAATGGTATCTTAAATTTAATGATACTGTTGTTTCCTTTGGATTTAAAGAAAACATCGTTGATCGATGTATATATCTGAAGATCAGTGGGAGCAAGTTCATCTTATTGGTTCTGTATGTTGATGATATTTTGCTTGCAACTAACGATCTTGGTCTTTTAACTGAGACTAAGAAGTTTCTCTCTAGTAACTTTGAAATGAAAGATATGGGTGAGGCTGCTTATGTGATAGGAATAGAAATATTCCGTGATAGATCACAAGGACTGTTAGGTTTGTCTCAGAAAGCATATATTAATAAAGTTCTAGAGAGATTCAGAATGGAAAATTGTTAATCGTCTCCAGTTCCAATTCAGAAAGGAGATAAGTTTAGTCTCTTACAATGTCCTAAAAGGGAATTGGAACGAAAAGAAATGGAAGCAA